GCTCTTGGTACAAGACAAAATTAAAGGACAAAGGGTTTCATGTAACTGCTACTCATTGTTGTTTCATTTTATATATATATATATTCATGCCTTTCAGGTGTACAAGTCTTCTAGGATATTTGTGGTAATGACCTTTTTGACTCAGGTACCTGCTTTTCTCTTGTGACAAGACTACTTGTGATAAAAGATACATGTCAAGCCAGCATGAGATAACTATAAATAATAGTTTTCTTAAAAACTTATGTGATGTATATTATATGTGTCACCATGCTTAGGGATGCTCAGTCACTAAACAGTTGAAACAATGTGACACACTAAAATTAGAGGTTCAACATTATGAACTCCAAAGGAATATTTATAGGACAATATATGTACTCCTTAGATGGCATTCTATTAAAGGATAACAAATATATGTCATTTAATGTCTTGTGATCAGATGGAGGTGTTTGACTGAAAGATCATTCCATATTAAGATGGACATTGTTACTAAGAAAATGTCATCATGATTGTCATGCTAAAATACTATGTGTGGCTCTTGATCTTAAGTTTCTATAATATATAACTGTTGTCTGTTAACATTCTTCAGGGATTAAACTACTAGAACAACCATGGTTGATAAGAAATAACAGCCCCTTAATTATGCTTTATATTTTAAAGTCCTTAATGTCCAGACAAAATTATAATCATTAAGTTCACTGCTCCTACTGCACTACTAATGTCACTGGTCTACTTTTCTGGGTGTTCAACAACTAAAATTTGGAGACCAAAACTAGAAAGGTAACTAGGCTATGAGGACAGCCATATTTTGTTCCTGGCCCCTCAAGGTCTACAAGATCCAGGACACAAGGAACCTTTCCTACAGGATCCTACGTCTTTGGTAAGTCACTCAACCTCCTGAGCAGGGAGATTGCTGGACACCAGAGGACAAATATACTGTGTGCCAAAGGAAGGTCACCATGAGGGAAAAGTCTCTCATGCTTTCACTGAAAGCAACATGGTCAATCAAGGCCATGACCCATCCTGATGGCTGACACTGACAGGAGCTGAGAGACTCTATGTATGGGTCCAAAATAATGCCTGAAGAGATTTAACCTTGATAGATAGCAAGAGGTTCATGTTGATTGACACAGGTCTCACTTTAACTTGGTCTTGAACACCCAGCAGAAAAGAGTAACCAAAAGAGGTATAAAATAATGCCATAGTAATAAAGCTAGATATAAAAAGGGGCTCTAGTCTCTGATCCTTTCTGGAAGTTTCCAGTTCTACCAGTAGCTGACCATGGTTGTGGATCATTAGGAAAAAACTATGATAAAAATCTATAAGAGCTCAGCTAGAGGTTTATGTTTCTTAGAAAATTTTATTCTTCAAATTGTCTCTTATCTTAGAGAGACTTATGACAAAGTATGAGACTTACAGATAACCTCTAACAATGAAAAAAATCTAAGACCAGCAGGTTCAATCACTATTTCAATTTCTAAGTGTGACTTTCTCTCCAACCTGCCCTTTCATTCTACTATGCTCATGCTTAAATTATAAATATTCTAATTTCTTAAAAGTTTTATTTATTCTTGCCTAGAGGCTGCCAAACTCCAAGTGGTCAAGCAAAAGGAACCAAGGACAAATGTGCTAGACTTCTTTTACCAGGATCCACCAGATCAACCTTATAAACAGCTCATAACTGCTAAACTATACAATATGACTTCTATGTTGGATTCTGAAGTCCCCTGGACCTTCTCTTTATCCTCCTTGAGGGCTATATTCATGGCAATCCTGTTGACCTTATAATTTGGTCCATGCATTCTTAACTGTTTCTTTGTCTTTGTCTCCTCCAGAATTAAAAGCTATACAGCTACCAGGATGACAATGCCAGGCACCTACCAAGAGCCTTTAGATAGACCCTCTGTAGAGTAACTCTAACTGCTGGTCACAGCTACAACCGTGAAGCTGGAAGTAGCCAGAGCTGTGTTTGCCCTTTGCCTGCTCACAGCAATAAGGTGTACTTCTGCAGAGGGGGGAATATTGCAGATAGGTAAGTTATTTGGATGTTTTGTAGGCAGTTAGACAGGGCCTCCCTCAAGGAGCCAACACAGCAAGAAGCCAACATAGAGGACAATAAAGACACATTCACTGTGGTCAGAATTATAGAAAGAGAGAAACTACCATACCTTTGTGCTTCCCCTGGGGATAAATAGCAGTGATTGATAGGCTAAATAGGGTTCAGTCACCTAAGTGGGGGTCAGAGTCTTAACCCAGTCTTTCCAGGAAATATCCCTGAATCCCATGCTTACTGAAAATCCATGTATACATTTACTATGTAACTTGCTCCCCATGTGACCCCCATTTAATCAATATTATCTGGGTGACTGTACTTGCAATCTTATTAGTTGGTCATGGTTTTGCCCCACCTCGTGCCCACCTTGTAATTTTCCACTGGGTCTTACAGTTTTGTCCCACTTTGTACTGCCTCACCACATGGCTTTGCTGTGTAAAACATCTTTGAAAATTTCTGGTCCCCTGTCTGTCTCTCTTAGACAGAAGCTTTCTTTCCCTCCATACATTTTTCCTACTCTTAAAAAAAAAAAAAAAGATCCATTTGCTCCCATATTCAGATTTGGGTTATAATCACTTTGTTATAGGGCTTGAGATTTAGTTACTATTTTCAGTATCACACAGTTTATATGGTAGCTGTGGGCCCTTCACCTTCAACTTCTGATAAATAATGAGGTGTCTGCAGTATGATAGAAGAAATGAATATAGGCAGAAAAATATTGTACTTTAAAGCAAAACTGCAGGTTCAGGCCTTTTCCCTCCTAGGAAACTCAAAGCAAAACAAATCCTAAAACTCTTAAAGACACAAAAGTCTGAGCCCACGCTTTTCACCAGTAAATCATCATGCTTCTCCCCTGTAGAATGGTCCACTACCTTTCCACCTGCAGATGGCCCTTCCCCTTTCTCTTTTACAAGGAATCTTTCACCTGCAAATGGGCCATCGCTTTTCACCTGTAGGAAGGTCAGTGCCTTAATAAACCACCTCTCTAGATTTCCACCTCTAAAACTACATATTCTGCACTAGGCGACAATTTACCTGTCTGTCTCTTCCCACCCCACTTACACTCTTTTCTCTCTGACAATGTTTTAAATTTTTTGCCTAATAAACTTCGCTATGTCTCCAACTGATGCCTCTTGGAAGTTCTTTATCTGTAATAGAGGTCAGCAAGTGTGTAACAGGCCTTTTGGGATGGCAGGCTGGGGTGAGCAGAGGTTCCCCTTTTCCACTTTGGGGAACCTCCTCAGACCCTGTCCAGTGACAGTGTCTAGACAACTTTGACATTCTACAGCATTTTCAGAAGAATATCCCAGTCCAGGTTAGGTTGTACCTTTGTGGTATTTACTTGCATCAATTCAGTCAGTTATATAGGTAAAATAGGTACAGCCAAAGTATGTTTTATGATGACAGAAGAGTTTGTTGAAACAATCGGTAACAGGCTTATGGTTTTTGAAAATGATTCTACAGAAAACAGCCCTTTAACATTATATACAAACATTGCAGTTGCTACTGAGGAGAGTAAACTCTGCTCTCCTTTCTATGGTAAGTGATACCAGCTACCATAATAACTGTGCTAAGATTGTAGACAAACTACAATAGTAGTGTTCAAATAATCCAGTACTATACTATAAAATGAAGACTGTGTTAGAAAACAACCATTTCTAGAAAATTACTGACTGCCTTAGAGTCAAAATGCACAACAGACAATCTTGGCAAGCTTGCTGCTTTACAACGAACTAAAGATAAACTGGAATTTATTGACATGCTCATCATAAAATCCCAGGAGAGAGAATGGATAAATACGTGGCTCTGGAAAATAGAGTTCACACTCTAAGGAGTCATCCAGGAGTATTAAATATGGCAAGAAAGGTTTCATCTACTTCTAGCACACTGCTGACATTGAGTTAACGCTTAGAAAATGGACATTAAACCAATTTGTTTTTTGTAAATGGTATGGTTATGCTTCTGAAATTGAGTAATTTGTGATTTGGAGGTAGGTCATATTCTGCTGTCAATCCTTTTCAAAATATGTTAATAAATATTCCTAGCCAATATGCCCTTTCCTGAAGAATGGGTTTATACCACCAAAAGTGACAATACTAAAAAATTGTTTAATTTTTATTCACAAAGGAAGAGGCCTTTCATTTCCCACAACAGAAATACTAAGGAAAAAACTCATTCAGGAAACTTTTGGGCTTGAGGAGAAGTCACAAGGTAAAGACTAGGGAGCCCTGCCCATCTTTGTCCCTGTGAATTCACTTCCTAAAACTCACAGTTCAGACTCCTGTCCTGCGGAGAAACAGCACAACTATAGCTCAACTGATTGCCTGAGAGGCCTGCTGGGCTTGCAGGAAGGGCTCTGGGCTGTGACCCATGGCTGTGTGTCCCATGCTTACAAGGCAGTGCACAAAGCTGTGAGGACTCCGCTTCTGCTTTTCAGGACCAAACTAGGAGAAAATGCTGACAGGTGTCACTACTTTTCTTCCTGTCTGTGTCTTCTTGTTGATTTGTATGCACTTTCATAACCTCATCCCTTAGGCCTCTTTCCAAAAAAATAAAGGAAATGAGTGATGACTTCAGACAACCTGTTAGTCCCAATTCAGGAGAACCTGTCCTTAGGTAGTACAGAGCAAAATCTCCACATTTTAAAAAGCCGATGGACACGTTAAGAGTAATTATTCACTCTACCAAAAAGCTCTTAGAACCCAGGAGGACAAAGCTACAATTCACATTGTAATTTTGTGGCTATAAAAACTAAACCCTCAGAAGGAAAATGGCTAAACAAAGCCAATAGCCCTATCATGCCTAATTCATACTTTGCAGAAAGGAAATTTTTGCCACAAACATTTTAATTTTTTACAGTACTCAAATTATGATTTTATTTTTTAAATATTTAACTTACATACACACTTCTGGGACTACACTATTATATGCAGTGAAGGACAGTGGCTTGTGAAATGGAGAGCGAAATTATGTGATACTGCATTTCGAATGTGTGGTCTATACCACAGAATAATGGGACTTACTGCACATCCAAATCAATTTTAGTATTTCTTACTAACTACTTGTGTTTAAAATAAATCCATATTATAGAGAGATTCATCCAGTTAGGCAATTAATTAACATTCTTGGATTATGGGTTGACACAAATATATTTGTAAACTTCAAAAGGAGACAAATTATTAACAAAGACAATGATACTTCCTTTCCTCTTGAAAGACTTGTAGATGATCACTCAGTTGCCCACTTAACACTCTGGGTTCAAGTTCTATAGCTTGCTTGTGTGATTTTTCAGGCAGCTATGGAAGCAACTAGTCTGTGTGTATGTCTGTACACACACACACACACACACACACACACACACACACACTCCACACAGTGTACCTAGGAACAAAAGCTGGTACAGAACTTAATTCAATAGAAAAGAAAATGCATTAATTTCCTTTTTTTTTAAGTCTTGGTACAGATACCCTTCATAGGGGCACACTGCCAGCATGGGCTTTTGTCTTGTCTGGCTCCTGATTTTTCAATGCACACTAAAAACACCACTCCTGCACACATACTCCACAGAGGCCACTTTGGCTTGCTGCCACCTGCCCTCCTTGTATTAAAAAATGTGGATCCATTCCTATTATGGAGCCTGAAGCACAGCCAAGATGAAATCTCAGAGGGCCCTCTCCCCAGACATGTGTGAGTCGAATAAAAATGAGACACAAAAGCCTCCAGCACCAGAGGGGTAAAGTGAGGGCTATGTTATAGGCCAGGAGGATGTTCTGGTTCTTGGGAAAGAAATCGAATTAAAATGTTACTTTTTATTTTTTACATTTGCAGTTCTTTTAGACATCAACAGGATGTCTTTTTTATTGTCTTCTAGGAAAACAATAACAATTGGAATTTCTTAGAAGAAAAGTACACATTCAAGGCTGGCCAGGGCTGAGTTGAGTGGGATCTCCATGGCCTTCTAAATTCCCAGGGTCCAATCTTGCCCATCAGATAACAAAGGAAGCGATTTAATACACTCAATTATATACTGAGGTATTAGGGACCTGATACATTATTTCACTCAGAGGTATCTGCACTCCAGAGGAAACTGCATTCCAGAGGCCCCATGAGAGCAAATAACTTTTAATCTAAAGGAATTTACAGGACTAATAGCAGAATTTCAAGCACCAGAGTTTTAAATCACCCTTCCCAGGAAACCACTTATTAATTCAAGGGTGGGTCTAAATATATCTGCCTGATGAGGTGACAGGGGAAATAACTAGCCAAGCTTGAAGGATAAGTCATAGCTTCTGCTCTTTTTTTTTCTTCCTCCTTCCCTTATTCAGTCCAGCCTTCCTGATGGTTCCTGAAACTTTGGGTCTCTGATTCCTAAAGCAGTTGTGAAGACTCAGCAAAGTGTTTCAAGTGCTTCATTGGTAAAGATAAAACCTGTGCTAAAAACAGAAACAAAACCAATGCTGAGTTCAGTGCAACACGAAATAAAAGGTCAAACACAATGCAGCTGAATAGAACAAATCGGCAAACATTCAGGTGGAAATGTTAGGCCACATAAGAGCTAGCACAAATAACATGCAAAGCTGCAGAAATCACTAATGTTTTTCATGAGAAAGAAGGACACTTAAGCTAATGATGCTCAATTTTGTTTTCTTTCCTCCTATTATGAGAGTGAGAAAAGAAAAACAATCTATTTGGTTGTGTCATGGTCAGATAATTTACCAAATATTTGCTGACTAGCCACATCTCAGCGGTTCTGCAACTCCTACAAATTTGTACATTATTGCCTTTTACTCCAATCCCCCCATCAGAAGGACTCAAGCCCAGTGATTCTACTGTAGTGTGGTACTGAGGGCAGGGAAGGAGGAGAAGCCCGTGCCCGAGCAGGCAATCAAGGGGTGCACAGCCTGGAAAAGACTTAAAACCCATAATAAAAACCATGGAATGCCAGTCTGCTCTTTGGTATCACTACAGCAAGCGATTCTAAATAATGTTAGTGATAAACTGTTCTCTCATTTAAAAATAAATTTGTTGATCTAAGGTTTAAACAATCACTGACATCACAGTTTAGTTTTAACATCACTGTAAGCCTCAGTTTAACATATTTAGTATTGCTTCTCCTAGAGCAAACATTGAGATCTGAGTGGAAGTTCAATCAAAGAATTAACTCTATGCATTTATTTTGAGAGCACGTGCCTAACAGGGCTTGCTCTGGGTGCAATTCTTGTCTCAGCCTCCCTGTTACTGCATATTCTGGTGTTCAAAAAATCTATTTGAAATAAACAATGATGGCACAGTGACTGTGAAGACAATCAGAACTGGAATTGCTTCAATTCTGTCATTCTACAAGACTGCCTGGAGTTATTGGTTGTTTACATTTTCTGGAGTTTATTGTGAAATGTGATTTTTGTGCAGCTTTGCCATATGTGCTTATATTTGAAAGTTTTTCCTATTTATTTAATCTGTTTCTTCACTTTTCAAAATTAAAATTACTAAAAAGTGTTCTGGGGCCAGGGATTTAGCTCAGTGGTTCGGTGGCCTGCTTTGCAAGCTCAAGGACCCGAGTTCGATCCCTGGTACCAAAAAAGAAAAGTGTTCTGCCTGCCGGGGATGTGGCTCAGTGGTGCCACACCTGCCTGGCGAGTACAAGATCCTGAGTTTGGTCCCCTGTATTGGGAAAAGTGTTCTGCAATCAAAGATGGTCGACACTTTGTGAATATGGGAAGAAAAACAACTCTGATGAAGTTTTTGACAAATTTGGGGATGTTAAGCACAAAACAGAAATTGTAAAAGAACTATTCATTACTCTGAATAAACAGTAAGGAAGTATAGGTTTTCATACCTTTTTCAAAAATAATTCATGTAAATAAAAATTATTCTATAACTTTTTTCCATTAGGGACTATTATTTAGTTTTTACTGATAAACTACAAATTTTAATATCAGAACATTTCTTTTCTAGCCATTATTATTTGGTCCATTTTGTGTTTATAACTAAACATAACTTTGTCCCATAGGGGAAAGGAGTGTTTAAAATGATCTGCTCCAGGTGTTAAATATGTCTCCAAGCTCTAATTCAACACCAGCTTTGTTTTTGTGGCTTTCTGAGTCTCCCTTACCTACAGCCTTGTCCTTCCCCTGTTCCCATTGCCAACAGCACTTAAAATAATCCATCCCTCCTCCCATGTTCTTCTTCCATTTTCCCACTTTTCTTGTAGGAAAGTTAAATTATGAAGGTTTTTTCTTGGGGGGGGTACCTGGGATTGAACTCAGGTCCTTGCGCTTTCGAGGCAGGCAGCAGAACCACTGAGCTAAATCCCTAGCCCATGAATGGTTAAAACAGTCCTCCACACTGTACTGAGCCTAGATATCCAGGACTGACCTGTCCACCTGAAGAAGCTGAGCCAGGGTGGAAACGGTGGGAGAAATAATTCAGAAAGCACAAAGCCTATTTTGATTCCAACTCTAGTCAACCATCTCTAGCCAGGAGAACCCACAGCTTTCCTTTCTGGAGAAGCATTGGAAAGCATGCTGTTGTTAGTTGCAAAATTAACCAGCACCACCTAGAGCCTGCATGTCCCTCAGTCCTCTGCACTTAGACCCAGCTTGCCCTTAATGCCCCTGAGAGAAAGGAGTTTACATTTCAATTCACAACCCATCCCAACAGCCCCTCCCAACTCTCGTCACCCAATGCCCTTAACTCTGAACAATCAACTGGAAGCAATAAAATATTTCCCACCTAAATTTGGCATAGGATTATCATCACTCTTGAGTCTTCTGAAAGATCCTAGACATCTAGTGATGATCCATTATGTCATTGAGTGTAAATTTTCTTCATATTGGTGTAGAGGGAAAGTTACAGTATTTTTTAAAATTTTTTACTTAGCAGAATATAATGAATTCCATTGATGGCCTATTTCAGAAATCCACCAATCAAAGGAAATTGTAAAGTTCACCATAGTAACGGTTCTGTGTCAGTGGCTCATATGAGAACCACACAGCATAGAAAGCATGGGCCAATCGTGGAACCGAATAAGTTACCATCTCATAGCAACCAAAGGATCTGCATGGCAACATCAGTTGCTATATAAAAGAAAAATTAGAAACAATATTATGTTAGGGAGAAATAAAGGTATTAACTGTTAAGTCATACTTGAGTCACAGTTGTGAAGACCTATCCTAAAATAGCTCTCTAAACATAACTCAGATAATACCTGCCAGATGCAAGACTCCACGTGCTAGGAACACTTCCTCGCCACCAAGTAGAACCTGTGGGGCAGAAAGGAATGTCCATGGGATAGGTTGCTTCCGAACAGGAAAGGAGAATACTAGCAACAGAAAAGTATATTTGCAGGGTAAATTGCACATTAGTCATTGCATTTAATTCTGTGAGGGAGGAAGGGCAAATATTATCATTACTAAATTCTATATCTTCGCTCCTCCCTCTCAGTCCCTCCCTCTGCTCTCCCATCTCATTGGTTAATGGCAACACGATTCTTTCAATTGCGCTGGACAAAGACCTCAGAGTTCTCCTGGTTCGCTCTCATTTCTTTCAAGTGTTTACTCAAAATATCACCTTCTCAGTGAGTTCTCTGAACTACTTTGAAACAGAACTCACCCCCTTTCCTGGCACTATGGGGCACTTAGGACAATGCTTGGCATATAATAAGTACTCACTAGATACCTTCTGATGAACAAAGGAAGCACTGTTTTACAGGTAATCAGGCTGAAGAAGTAATCGATTTACTCAGAGGTCATAGCCAGAACATGTTAGAGCCCAGACTTGAACTCAGGTTTACTAATGATCTAAAACTGCTCTGCTCACTCTACTACAGCTTTATTTCCTTTTCTGCATCTGCCACCTCTTCATAACAGTCCCATGAAACATTTCTTCCCTAAGAAGGAAAGAGAGGCCACTAGGCTGATGGGGCAGCTGTGTGCATGGCCACTGAAGGATTGGAGAGAGGGTGAGATGGCTCTGAGTGGAGTGACTCTTCTAGGGCAGTCGGAAAAGTGGCAGAAGTCAAGTTAGTGTGACTCCGTGAATGACACTCCACTGGTAGTAAATTCCCCCACCCGTCCCACACCATTTTTCTGGGTGTTAGATGTTTGAATCCTTTTGACCATTCTGCATTCTTACCCTTTTGCTTGGTCTAAAAACAATGATTTAAACGTTTTTTTTTTTTTTTTTTTAGTCTGGAAAATGTTTACAGTGTTCTTACTAGTTGGGCTCCAAAGAGTCTCAGAGTCATATTGAAGTACCATGTATAACTGGGTGAAAAAATAGAAAATTTCTGTCCTGAATATGGTTTTTGGTCTACACAATGAATGTTTTTTGGTGGCGGTGGTACCAGGTGCTACCTATGTTAGAGGATTATGTGGAACAGTGTTTTTCTATTAAAATCATACGGAAAACTGTTAGCAGCATGCCTGCCTTCTCCACCCCAGTCCCAGTAGTGGAGGGTCAGGAGTGGAGGAGGAGATGGGTGGGGAATGCAGACAGACCACCCAGGAACAGAGCAGGGAGATGAATAAACCAAAAGCAGGAGCACTTTGCTTCCATGGCTTGTAGGAGTGACTGGGAAGTGCTGCAGGAGACAGACACACCATCAACAATCTTGCCAGGTACTGGGAGAAGACAAGGAAAAAAAAATTAAAAACCAAGAAATGAAACATGAAAGACAATATCAGTAATAATAACAATAACTACTCCTTTTTTGAACATTTACAATGTGATAGGCAATTTGCTAAGTGCTTTCATATAATTTTACAGTTATGCCTCTCAGCAACCCTGAATGGGAGGAATTACCTCCTCATCTTACAGGGCAAGCTCAGCGGCACTGAATGACTTATTTAATAGAAGTTGAACACATCACCTTTTAAGTTATGATTTCTTCAGTATGCATCTATGTAGCAAGATCCTTCTTTTTTTTTTTTTTTTATCGGGTATCGAACTTGAGTCCTTGCACTTGAGAGGCAGGTGGCACAACCACTGAGCCAAATCCCTGGTCCATAGCAAGTTCCTTCTGAATGAACTACAGAATTTTATAACTTCATGTGAATGTATCTTTTTCTCCATTAACCATGTAATCTCTCCACGGCCTAATCATCTTAGTTTCTAAAAAGACTGACACTAAATTTAATGATCAGCTGTAATAGCTAGTTTATTCTGGTGCCTAAAATCTATGCCCCAGTTTATGTTTTAATGAATTTTTCACTTTAAAATAAATTTGGATTTGCAGAAAAGTTGTAAAATAGTACAAATGGTTCCTATGTGACCTTTATCCAGTCTCCTCTAATATTAACATCTTGCTTTGGTAAGTTTGTCAAAACTAAGAAATTAACACTAGAACATTGCTATTAACTACACCACAGGCTTTGTTTGGTTATTGCCAGGTTTTCACTGACACCTTCTTTCTTGATTTTTTATTTCTCTTCTCTTCTTTTTTTCTTTTTGAGACAAGATCTTATTAATTTGTCCAGACTGTGCTAGAACTTGTAACCACCCTGCCTCAGCCTTCCAGTATTGGGATGATAGGCATGGGTCACCATAGACAGCTCTTGTTTCACATTGCATTTAGCCCAATCTGTTTTGTTTTATCTTTATTTTTTGTTAATATAATTATTAACACAGATTAATTGTACAAGTTAATGAGGTTCACCCTGACAGTTCCATATATGTAGATATTGTGCTTTGCTACTGTACACCTTTCTCCCGCCTTCCTTCTCCCC